TTTTTGATAGCAGTTCGGGTTATGAGCTCACTGATTTTCGCACATTAAACCTGCCTTCGAGGAAACGCGATGAAACATAATTTTTTGACAATTTTTTTTGTATTGCATAGATTTGCCCGGTTATCATATTCAACATAGGATTTGAGTGTTGTAACGTCACGACTGGTTAATTAACACAGTAAAGCCTTTCGGGAATTCAACGCAAAGAACGTGTACCGTTAGTCCCTGAACTTCCAATACCAACGGTAAATCTGAACTCAGTAATACGTGTAGCCGTCTGCTGTTACACATTGACCTTCAAATGACAAGCTGTAAAAGAAGGAAAACGTATTTTTTAATTTTCCACAGAATTTTGTTCGGATTTTGTTAGTTTTGTTTGTGTACTTCGATCTTGGATGTTCCATTGGTGTTTTGGTTATGAATATATAATCTGGTCTTTTGGCTACTGTCGACTTGTTAATTTCTGCAGAGACAGCCGTCTCTTTGCGGTTATGGCTGCAAAATCAGCCAGCGAAGCCGAGGAGGATGATAAGCCGAAGGTTAACCCATATAAACTGGGTACATACGATCTTGTTCGTTTGAGGATCAATCGTTTGATGGAACACCCGGTTAGTTTTTCTTACTGTCATATATTCTGACAGGAAGTACCTGTCGTTATTCCGGAGTCGACAAGAAATATACAGCCCAAGGGACCACCAGAATTCGTCAGAAATGTCTGGGGTAAGTTTTTCGTATTTGTTTGACAATTCTCATTCAAAATTTTTAACAGTAATTATGACCATCTTTATTTCTACTTAAGTATATACTTAAGTAAAATGAGGCATGTGCAGAATGAATCCCCCACCTTTGTTTTAGTAACATTACTGTTTTCTGAGGACTGTATCCGAAGGGTCATTCCTGCGCAGCTTACATACACTACTAGGTAGTATTCCATACGGTGATTAACGGAGGTTACAACTAGTTGTAACCGCCAGTCAAGTCCAGGAAGAGGGCCTTTCTGCACTAGAATGAACTATAAGCTTTCTTCTAGACTTACTCTAGAAAATTGTTATCGCAGTTCCCTTTCCCAAGCACTCACGAATCCTGTTATCTATTGATCCAAACGAAGCCTCACAGGTGTTAGCAATATTCGTACCCCAATATTAAAAACGTACATCAAAGCATGGGTAACTACTTCGGTGACCAGGTTATCTTGTCAATTGGTTATCTTTCAACCCGCTAGTTCCTCGATAATAATTTGAGAGATTTTATAGACTCAATGCTATTTCTCATCCGTGGGCTCCTGGGGCCATTACACGGGCTATTAAAGGAGAAGTAGGGCGTGTCACCACCGCTCACCAGCATAAGAAATACTGTGCAGGAATGTGGATTCCAGTAAATTATTATCCGGGTCTAAACGAGTTGTGGTGCTTAAATGCGCACTTGAGATGAAAGTTCAATATTTTGATTATAGTGAACCGTATTTTTTCCACACCTGCAGGCCAAATGACTGAAAACTCCTGACTCAACCACTAGTATTATAAACCTAGTTGAGTGGGATTTAGATCGCACACCTGACCCTCCTTTTGGTATCACATCTTCCCAGCTCCTTTTGGAAAGTTTAACTGTCACTCGGAAAACGATGGAGCTTTCAGGCCGTGAAATGGTTCTATGTACAACGATTTGGTGGACATCACTTCCGTCGTACGCCTATCACATACATATAACAAACCAGACTGTAGTCACTATATGTCCACCGCAGAATATGCGTTGCGTTTCAGATATTACGCAACAGCACCACACTTTGAGTATACACAATGTTAATTATGTGCCGCTGACAGTTAATTCGAGAACTGAAATATTTCTGCGACGATATCCAAGCAGATATTGAAGCAATAAAATTCGAGAAAGGTGTTTGTTCGATTACTCATCCGTTGGCCTGTAGAGTTTTATAACTAAACCAAAGTAGACTATTGGCGGATTTAAGGCTCGAGGGCGTACAAACGTGCGAGAAACTAGAGGCAATTATAGCCTCATTCAGACAGGGGATAAGAGAACAAAGAGAGTCCGTCTGTGAATTCTTTGTATTTCCTCACTGTAACCCGATGTGGGACACAGCGCGTACAAATATGCAAGGCACCGCTTGGATCAGAGTAGCTTGAGGGCTTGAACGTATATGAACACAGATTTGAATTGGCTAAGCATATGGCCATCGCTTCGGTCATATTGGTTGTAGCATTCGAATAGCTCCTCTTTCACTGTGCATTGAATGTCCAGTTCAATTTCGATGTTTGAGTTAATCGACAAATTCACTGAGTAGCGATTAGAGCACGCTTAGAACACCACCATCAGATCTCTTAATGGAGAAAGTTAAAGACCTTTATGTTCCGTTACAAAGGACCTTGATTTCCGTACGCAGTATGCTGGTCAAATTTTTGTTGTAGCGGACAAACTTGATTCAGACACCTTCCCGGATAAAGTTAATTTGCCTCCCGGATCTGAAAGCCCTATTTATTAGGACGTCTAGTCATAAATGCATAAAAAGGGAACATGGACCAATGATTACACAATCTTTGACAGTATCGTCTAAGTAAAAACCCAAGCATGGTTCACTGCAGAGTCAATCCTGCTAGAAGGAGAGTACGAAAAAAAATCATATTCTTCGGAAAATTGATCGCAAGATCTAGGGAAGAACATTGATCAAATATGAGCGTGTCTACGGTTGATTACAATTTATTCCTCTTATTGCCGTTTCGAGAGGACTCGGCCAGCACCTAAGCTGTTTTTGCGCGCCAAGATTTTATTAAAACATCCCGCCGCCCTTTCGGACTTCTTCAGTGTGCATCTACACCCTCACTTGCTTCTGGTTAAATTGGTCCAACGACTAGGCGCCTATCCAAGCGAATGCGAGAGCACCGTCCTGTCTGGCTAAACTGGCGCATGGAAAGAGATTGGTACCGAAATATGCGAACGTTATTGGACCCCGGCACCCAAAAATTGGCGGTACTCAGTCTTTAATAATATGTTGGTCTGCTCCCTCTGAAAAAAAATATATTCCAGACGCAGGCACTCGGGAAGTTAAGCCACCGGGTGCTAACTTTCGATTCACTTATAGGCATAATACTGCTGTACGATAACACTTCAGGCTTCTCCTTATGCGTTCTTTGCCTAGCTTCTCTGATTCATGTTAATTTAGCAAACAGTTGTCGCCTCAGATGCGTCAACCGGCCATTTTGTCAGTCTTAACGCTTCATGGTCGCGTTGATGTGTCCAATGCAGGTTGCTCAGTTCTTCATTTTTTCATGCTGGCATGGAGATGTTAAATAAAACCACCCAAAGAACAATTCAACTAAAGTGCTTCCAGATAATTACCTTGGTTTCGTACAAAGTACATTCAGTAACCCATAGCAGGACACCTTTTGACGTATCACCACAGTCTATCCTTAACTCCTACGGATTAGTGCACCTGACGCGATGAAAATGCAACCGACAGCGTTTGCGGAACTCATTTGTCACCAGATTTAGACTCGGTTTAATCTCGTTATGTTACTAATTGTGTGGGCAGTTGTCGGTATCTCATCGGAAAGGATGTTATCTTTACAGCTCAGCACCTGACCATGAAGGCAATTCTTCAAGGGTGCATGCACCCGCGAATTTCATATTTTGTCAGACTTCTGTTGGCACTAGCGCTGCCTCGTGGTCTACGACTCACTTTTCTGCCAGTCTCGACGGCATCCCAGACGTACACCAAACTGCTACACCAAACCTCCCTACGGTGGATCTATCTCCCCTCCATGTTTTGATAACAGAGCAGCCCCT